CTTGATGCTACAGTTGATGGACGCAAAGAAAGAAAGAACCAACCAAACCTCCATGGCAGCTTCAGTGCCAGCCCGGGCCCCACGTGCGGCTAACCCGCGCGTGCCGAAAACGGGCCCACGCTCGCTCACGTGAGACACCACGGATTAAGTGCAGCCTGGGAGGTAGCCCCAAGCTCATTAAGGAAAAAAGGAAAAAAGGCTTTTGCTTTCAGCAGTAGCAGCTCGCGTATTTTACTACGATAGGCAAAAATTTGATTTGAAAGCTGCACCCTTATTTCAAAGCTTTAATCTAGCTGAGCTTTGCTTTACTGCAGTTTGCAATTTGTTTGTAATGCTTATAAAGAAACACAGCAAAACTCCAAACAACAATATTATGTGTATATCAACCTGTTGATAATTCTGGCAGGAAAGCTCAAAAGCAGCACTGAGTTAAAAAAGACCACGTGCAGCGGTTACGGTAATATTCTAAAGCATTAGGTGAGACCTCCGCGCTTTACGTTTGAGGCACTTACTTACTTACTTTTGATAATTTCGATGATCTGAAATAATATCCCCTTTTTCAAGAAAGTATTTCAGAAAACACGCTCAGAGTTAGGAAAGCCATTAAATCCTTGTGGATTGAAGGTAGAAAAATAAATTGTATGTATTTTAGACTTTGAATGATCTTCCTATAGCAATTTTAGGGGGGAAAAAACTATGAAGAATTCTGCAATTTTAATCTCCTCAGTAGCTTCCCATTACTAAACAAGCAGAACGCCACAGTACAAATGTGGATGTTACATGTCATCTTGATCTGCTGCTTTTTTCTTTCATTAAAGCTTTAATGCAGCAATTATGGCTACGTTGCCCTATAAAAAAAGGAAAAGGCAGTTTACTTTAAAAAGTGAAATTGCATAGCCTACTATTTAATTATACACAAATGTAAATGGCCTATTTTTCCATAACTGGTTATTACAGCACTGTTTTACTTTCTGAGTTTTCACAATCTCTAAAACCTACAACGCTTCCTGCTATATAATTGTTTTGCTACATTATTGTTTTCATCTTATTTTTTCTTTTAATGCGAGTGCAGCGGGATAAATCTTGGTTTTAAGCCAGCCAGTACTTCATCTACTTAAGCTTTTATAGATGAAGATTGCTGTAATTATCAGAATACCCGCTTATTTCTGAAGTATTATCTTGGCAACCTGCTGGCATTTACAACCAATTAACAAGCTTTGCCCATTAGTTGCATAAGGGGTATCACAGAGTAAACCCATTGTGTGCTAATTTTCTATTTTAGATAATCAGTTTGGCCGTCCAGAATGGAAAGGGGAAGAAAAGAAAGGTTTGACACGCGGTGGCCGACACGTAAAAGGGACTGCATGCCTCCCAGAGACAAAGGTAGCCAGCGCCTGCATGATTGCTTCACTGTCGTCACCGCTGGGCTGTAAGTATTCGTTCCCTTTGTCTCGGTTGGAAGATAAAGCGCAAAGTACAGCTTCAGCAAAGTAATCATGTCCTCTTTTGATTTTTTTAAACAGACTGGCTTCTCCCTCTGTCCTCTGGGGCTTGTAATTTCACCAAATTGTGCAAGTTTTAAAAGCCATTTCCAAAAAAAAAAAAAGGAACAACAGGAAA